AATATGTATAATTTTGGGTAATGCGGGTAGTTTGGTTAAATTTGGGTAACCGATAGGTTAGGGCGAATCAAACCGATTTAGTTGGTAACCGATTGGAAATTACAATCTATTCCGATAGGTTATCTTCTCTTAACCAAAACCGAACCAAAAATCTAGGTTTGGTTCGGTTCAGAATTTTCTGTTCGGGTACTATTCCCAAGCCTGATGATGATGATGATGATGATGATGATGATGATGATGTATGTGATGTCGATGATATGATGCTGGTGATGATGATGATGTATGTGATGTCGATGATGTGATGATGGTGATGATGATGATATGCTGATCTGATTCAGTTGGTTTAAGTATTTGATGATGATATGCTGATCTGATTCAGTTGGTTTAAGTATTTGAGTTGGTTTAACTCATTTGAACAAGAATTTGTGGATTAAATGGTTAAACAATCAACCTATTATAACTCAACTCATTTGATCCATCAAACCATTTGACTCATTACTCATTTGACTCATGAATTCATTAGGGTCAAAAAGTTTCAAGTCATTAGAGTTCATGGGTTGAGTTGAGTTGAGTCAACCCATGAACCTTGACCCATTTTAATATCAAGGTTATTTATTTGTTTTAATTTATAAAAGAGAAGTAAGATTTAGATGGTACAATTAAACCAGATTATGAGTTTAACAAACTTAATGTGTTTATTAAATTATAATTGTTTAATTTTTAATTTATATATAAATGTAATATGTCATAAATCTTATTGGCTAAAACAAGAGAGATGAATAAAAGGGAACTAAAAAGATACATTATTAACTGAAAATAAGGATACCAAAATTCAATATAATTTGTAATATAGTGATTTCTAAAATATATATTTTGTTCAAATATGTAATTTTATATACTTTCATATTTAAAAACATTTCTTAATGCTTATCTCAACGACACTGTAACTCATTTTTTGGATTGATGTTAATTTGTAAGAATATTATCATCAAATTTTGTAATAATTAATTAAGTTTGAGGAATACAATAAATTTTAAAGTAAAAAAATGCAAGAATAGTTTTAAAAAATTCAAATTTGAACTCAAACCTAGAATTATGTTTTTAGGATAATGGCAATATCATGTTTAGGGTATAATATCTAAACTAAGTTTTTTTGAAAAATTTGGAAATAGTAATATTATAAAAATGGTGAATATTTCACAATTTTTTTGGTAATCGATAATTTAACATTTCTAAATTTTTATAATAAATGTTCAATAACAATTTAATAACCTAAAAAATTATATTTTGTTACATAAATAATTTTGTTAAACAAAAAACATTTTACTAACTTAAAAAATTATATATTATTTTGAATACTTTTGATATAACGTTCTTACAATAAAATTTTAATTTAATTTAATTTTGAAAATAAATAACATGTGAATTAGACGGGCCCTAATTTGTATTAGAAAATATGATATTCAATTAATATTGATTAATTCTTTTTCTTAATGTTATGATTATGCACATTTTAACACATGCAATATTTTTAATTCATACGTGAAAACATAAATTTTAATCCGCGTTTTTACGCTGGGCTTTATCTAGTTTATATATAAATTTCACTTCACTAGCAAATGATAAATATCTATATTAACAGTTTTGAAATACCTTTTGGAAAGTAACCTTTTATTTTTTATTATTTGCAATCATAAACCCTTTCAATCTTTCAAAGTTGTGTAGGAAGGAGCGATGCCAGAAATGTCAAGGATCGATTCCGAATGTATTACAGAGTCAATGTTGGTCGACACAAGGAGATGTGTCGATCAACACCAAACCCGGTTGAGAGCTTATCGTCTTTCTGAACTGACTGGATTGAATGTTGTTTGTCTATCGTCTTTGAGTGTTAATGTTTTAACTTACTTCTATGTATAGCCCGTAGAAAGGAAATACGTCTCATTAAAGTATTGGTAATAATAGTTACATTTTAAGATGTTTTACTAGAGACAGTGTTATGTTATTTGTGATATAGTCAATGATAAATTTTTTTCTTGGAGATAAAAATAAACATACTCCATGCGTCAGAACTACTCAAATAATTTTAAACGCAAATTAAAAATTATTTCTGAAAATACAAACCGTATAAAATAATAAAAACATAATTTTGTTCTGAAATTACCATCAATACTTTTTGACTTAAAATATATTTTTACAAACATTTTAGTCAAAAAAATAGTTGTATGTTTTAGAATTACCATAGCAAAAAATCATATTTAATATTTTCAATAGATTCATTAACTTAATTTGTATTATCCAATCAAAATTTTAATAAGTAATTTTTGTAACGATATCCTTTTAGTGTGCCTAAAATATTTTCTTATTATTTTAGACTTATCTACAATTTAAAAAATTTCCATTCGCAATATAATTTTAATTTTTTTGTTATGTTATAATAATAAGTTATGTTTCTTGGTCAAAGAAAAATCTTATGAAGAAAAGAACAGCACTAAATTGGTCAAAAAAAAGAACAAACTTTTGGCAATGAAATAAAAAAGGTAGACATACAAAAGAAATAATTATACTAGTCAAACAAAAACGTATACAAAATTAACTTATATAACCCGGTTGGAATCACACAATCATGCACTCAAATAAAAAAAATCATCTTCACTGCTTGAGGTAAACTCCATACTCTTCATCGTGTTTACTTTCTCAATAATAAATAGTATCTCTAGCAAACGATATATACTTGCTCGTGTTTTATTCGACTCCTGGGTTTGTTGCTTTTTTTCTCTCTAATTTCTCATATCACTCTTAATATGGTTATGATGTATGTTTAATTTCTTGGAATATGTTTGTAAGGTTAGCCAATATTTAGAATTGTATCAGTCCAAAATATTACATGTATAGAAAGCCAAAAATTCTTATGCGCTTTTTTTTTAATCTAATTATGTTTTCATAACTAGAAAAAAGATTTCATAGCAAGAAGAATATCATTTGAGATAATGTTGGTTTAGTTTTTGGATTCTGGCATGCAAAATAAAATAATATCAAAATACAGTTTTAGTCTTTGTATAAGAAAGAATAAATAATTTGCTTTCATAATCGAGTGTAAATCATTGAACTTTAAAATAATTGATAATATATGATTTTATAATGATTTATTTGATCTTTAAAATATGTCTTCTTCATTAAATATTGATGAATGTTCTTTTCTGTCAATAATGATATTATTGACTTGTAGAGATGCCGAAGGAAAGACCCATATTTTCAAAGGTAAGTAATAACGCTAGAGTATCACCATATCTTGGCCGTCGATCTTCGAAGAGCATCAAACAATTATCAAATGAGTTAAAGGTCCATTCAGAATGGGAGGATGTTATGTGCGTTATATGCATGGAACCGCCGCACTATACTGTCCTCTTGCGCTGCTCTTCATACTCTAAAGGATGTCGTCCTTATATGTGTGATACAAATCTCTATCACTCCAACTGTTTCAATCAATTCAGCGAAAACAACAGGAGCCACTCAAATGTGAAGACTTTAAGCTGTCCCCTCTGTAGAGGAGAGGTCTATGGGACGGTGTATGTGACAAGTGGAAGAAGATTCATGAATGCTAAACCAAGGCCTTGCTCTGTCGATAAATGCAAATTTTTTGGAACATACTCTAAGCTCGATAAGCACTTCAAAACAGCGCATCTGTATCTCAACCCACCAAATGTCGATCCATTAAGGCAATGGAGGCTGGAACAAATGCACATGATTGCTCAATACATGGAACATATGAGTCAAACTGAAATTCCATATAGGCTTCAGGTTGTGCAACATCAATTTCCATACACTCATCACCCCTCAATGATTCAGAGGAACGTTAACGGAACTGTGCAAAGTCTTCTTCACTCGAGACAGGAAACGAATCACTTTGGACTCGACAACACCACCACATATTCTATGCCTAGACCAATGTTTCAAGCTATGTCCATGTTTTATGCATGAGTTCCATAAAGACATTTCCTTAGTGAAAGCGTAAAATTTTTAGATTGATCAAAGTTTTAATGGCTTAATAGTTTGTTCTTTCATTTAGTCAATGTTTCAGTGTCTTATTATTACTTAATATGTAATATTATGATTTTCAAATTATGTTTCTATGCAAGGTTTTCTATTGTTTAAAATTGTTAGTTTTTACTTATTTGTACACACCAACGAAATTCAAATTGTACATCTTAATCTATCTCTCTCTCTCTCATCATTATTAATATAAAATATTAATAATCTAATAATACTAATAAATGAGTATTATGAACTATATACTAAATTGAAAATCATGAGAAATAATATGATGGATAGTTAAAAATGCTTCAAAGTTGTGTTCACACACTAAGTATTTTACGCGGTTTGAAAATCATATTTATGTAAACTCAAACCCGGTTTACACATATAATCATATATGATTATAATCAAATAAATTTACATAAATATGATTATATTTTTCTACGGATTGTTTACACACTAAGTATTTTATTCTGAAATAAAATGAGTTAAATGAAAGTTATTACGCCATCATCATATCACTATTTGAAATATTATACAAAGTTAATTAAGTTGAATTAATTACGATTATATATAACACAAAAATTTGTCATGTAGTATTCCACGGGTTAAATCATAGAATTAAAAATCACAATATCATTGTACAATTTTAAATATTTAACAAAATTAATAGACAAATACAACTTAAAATAAAATAAAAATATTAGTTACAAAAATATTCAATGAGCTAGGTAATAAAGTTTACAATCAAAATACAATTACACAATTTTAAATACAAAACAAAATTAAAAATATAACTTAAAAATAAAAAAATTTATTAATAAATTGTCTTGCGGTGTACCGCTAGTTAAAACCTATATACATAAAAATTCGAAATATCCAAAACCCAAGTGGGCTATTAAAAGCCCATACTCGATTTAATATATACACAACAATACCAAAAGACCTGATCCCTTCTAAAAGCTCTATATTGAAATTGTATCTTCTTCTTCTTCCTTCCCCATACCGTAGATTAAAATTAAAACAGAGATCTTTCAAAAGCTAAGAACTTGTGATCGATCAGCTTCATCCATGGAATCTCATTCGTTCCTAGACAACATCGTCTTCTTCCTCTTACGTCCGCTTCTAGCCATCTCATTTGTCGTCTGCTTCATCGCTCTTTGTACTCTCTCTCTCTCCCCTTCAAGTTTGTAACCATAAAGTTTTGATCTTTAGGGCTTTGAGAAGACGAAGTATTTGATTTGGTTTTTGGGTTTTTGCAGGGTGGTTTCTAGCATGGAAGCTTGTATTAAGTCATGTTCCTTTGGTTCAAGAGATCTTTGGTTTGAAGAAGAAAGTTATTAAACCCAAACCTGAGTCTCGTGGTCGTTTCTCAAAATTCTACAAAAGTATTAGTTCTCAGAATCATGTTCCCCAATGGTAAGTATTAGTTTTTTACTCATTCAATTTATTGAATCCTAAAAGAGATGTGAATTCCAATTTTGGACTTTTCTCAGATATTGTGAATTTCAGAAGCTTCCAAAGACAGAACAATCAAGAAGGAAGATTCAAGTTTTATGATGTTTTGATTCTTTTGGTGGGATGTGTGCAATGTATGTAATGTGTACTTTGTATAGTGTTGAAGTCTTTCAAGCACAAACTGATTCTAAACTGTGTTGAGAGATGGTTTGATTCATGAATCAGGTATGACAAATCACATAGTACATCTTAATGCACTCAAAGCTATGAATTTAAACCATTGCTATAACACAGTTGTATAAACCAAAAACATGAATCAGTTATAATCTCAGCAGCCAAAGAACTTTCTCATTCAGACATCAGCTGCGGTTTAGGTGTTATCCCTTTGATAGATGGATAAAAAAATGGACTGACAATGAAATTTTTTCCCAAGATTGACTCAACTAGAAGGTGTTATCTCCTCGGTAGCTGAAGGAGTCTTCTTGCTGATAGGTCCTAAAGAGACTTTAACCTTTGCTGGTCTCAGAACGCGATCTCCAAGAAGAAATCCTCGGTTCAGCTCCTCGGTTATTATCCCTGCTTTAACTGTCTCAGATTCTTCTCGCGATATAGCTTCGTGCAACTACAACAAAAAAGAGTATTGCTAAGTCACTTAAAACCCCAAAACAACAAACATTACTCATCTGAAAACAACTTTCTGAGTATCCAATCGCTTTTGTCACTCGCTGGCAAACAAAGATCATATAACTGAGTTGTATAAACAACAATTAATTACTCCATTATCATCACACACTGGTATAGAAGTATCATATAGCCATAGCCAAGATGTTAATACAAAATCCTCTACTCCTTTGGCAAACACAATCACTAACTCTTTTACCAATTTCAAGTATATTCTATGACTACCTCTACAGTGTATAAGAGCCTTCTTAGTGATGCAACAAAAAGCTACTATGACTTCAGTCTTCTTTTTAAGTGCAAAGTTATCTAAAACCACCTAAAAACTGAACTGATTCATCTGTACTAGTGAGTGATATAGCCTCATGCAACAACAACAATAAAGAATACTTTTACCACTCAAGACCACCCATATACAACAAACAATAATCCTCTTATCATCACTCACTAGCACAGAAGCATCTACTACATTATCCAAACACAATGACTGACTCCGTCAACAATTTCAAGTACGTTTCTACGACGATAACATCATTCTTAGTGATACAATGCAACATTCTTCAAACTACAAAGCATAAACTTACCAAAGGATCAAAGGGCTTGCCAACAGTTGCAATAGCTGCAACACGAAGATGCCTCAAAACCTCAACGAACTGTCTATAAATCCCTTGATAACTCGTATCAATCTTCTTCTCCTTCTCCGTATCAACACTAACCTGTAACTTAGCTTTCTCAAAACTATCAATAAGTGGCAAAAGACTTCTCATAATCTGAACTTTTGCATTAGACTCAGTACTAAGCCTATCTTTATCAAGCTTCTTCCTAGTATTCTCAAAATCAGCAGTTAATCTAATCTTCATCTCTTTCTCAGAAGCAATCTTCATAGATAATGATAAAACCTTCTGATCCATTTTATTCTTCTCTTTCTCGATTCTACAAAACATCCTTTCGATTTCCACAACTGAGCTTTCGTCTCCGTTAAAGAGAGCTTCTTTATAAACCCTAATCAGAGATTTCACATCTGTTGGGTACTTCGAATTCGCTTCTTCACTATTACTCTACGATAACAGATTCTCGAATTAGAGGCAAAGATTATGGATTTTCAAAATCAATGAAGAAGTAAAATTGAGGAGAAGAAAGAACTTACAGGAGAAGAAGCGAAGATTGGGAATTTTCGATTGGGTTTTGAAATCAATGGAGATGATAATGGTGAAGGTCTGCTGCCATGGAAACGAAGGTTTCGTAAAGGTAGGGTTCTTGATGAAGATGGAGAGGAGAAGGAGAAGCAAGGAGCAATGGATGGATCGATTACGAAAGAAATGGCCATTGTTGGATTGGATTTGCTAATTTGGAGATATTGAGATATGAACTGAGTGAGAGCCTCAAGTGCCAGCAAAATCATATAAAAGTGAGTTCATAACTACAACACAGCCCTTGGTTAAAAAAAAAAAACAATTAGGAAAAAAACATCTAATTTGTTATGTACTTAAAGGGTAAAAGGTCATTTTAAACCTGAACAATTTTGAAAGTGCATATTCTGGAAATACAAATTAAAACTTGAAATCAACCAAACTAAAAATTGATTTTTTTATTTGTTTTAAAGATAATTTTATGGGAATATATAATAAATGACTATGGATTTGAAAAGAATTAGGTAAATGACGTTCGATGTATAGCGCATGTCAGAAGACCACATTAAATTACCTTCGTCGCCTTAACCCCCTACGCACTCTATCAGGGGACACAAATTAAAAGGCTATCATTTTTATTTTTGAATTTCAAATCTCATCTATTACTCTTTGTCGAAAATCCAATGTCATGATATTAAAAAAAACATACAAATTTCGTTTTTTATTACTGACCCCGACTATTTATTGGAAATCACATGTTTTATACGAAAATAACATATAATTTCTTTTTTTAATTATACGCCTGACGATTTAGTTCCATTTCACTAAGTTTCCCAAATATCTTCGAAACCTAAAATTTCCTCTCTACTCGTCTCCCCGGAATTTTAATCCCAGTTTTCCTTCGTTCTCCTCCAATCTCGTCCTGATTCATCATCTTAAGGTATTTTTGATAAAAATATTTCTTCACCCATTAACATGTGTTCTTTGTTCGGTTCAGCTGCTAACCTTAATTTTTTTTTCTGGCGGATCCTCGACTTCCAAAAAGACTCTTCAGACGAGGCGCTGAACCCGCCGGGGAACGAGTTCACTCTTATAGTGATTTTTTCCATCATCGATGACCTAGCCGGTATACTAGCACCAGACGAGTTTGAAAAAATCAAAGCTTCTCAGTTTGGGAAACTGTTTGACATCCCCGAACAAGCCGCGTATTCAGGCAAGCTCGTCAATTTTTTGCTCTCAAGACAACTCCTTGTGCAAAGACAGCACGAGATCTGGGTCGTGTTTGCGGGTTAGTCGATCCGGTTTGTTCTTGCCGACTTCCACCGTGTTATTAGCCTAACCAGCAGTAAACCGCCGAAATCTAGAGAGAAGAGAGCCAAAAGGAAAAGCGGGCCCGGAAAGTTCTGGTTTTCTACCGGCTTGATGTATCTGCCGAGTGGGTCGTGAATAGGCTGCTGAGGCGTTTGGTTGCCAGAAAGATAACCGCATCTGGTATGATGTGCTTGCTCTAATAGACGGAGTTTTGTGTCCGTCTTCCAGGAAATGCAAAATTTCCCCTGCCCATGTAGATATTGCCGAGAACTTGGATCAATTTCTGACATTTCCCTGGGGGACATATGCATTTCAAATGACGATGCAGAGTATCAAGGCTAGAGGGGCCCTGAAATTAACGAAAAGTCAATTACACTTCAAGGGTTCCCTCACGCACTCCAGCTGGTGCTCTTGCAATCCGTACCATCCATTAGAGAGCTACAGTTCCTTGAGCCTGATGTCGATGCTGATTATGAGGAAGAGGAAGATGCAGCGATAGAAATTAAGCGCTTTTGAACTTTAAAGTTGGATGTCATTTGGAAAGTGGACAAGTCCACGGTATGTTTGTTTTCTAACTATTGTGGATATTTTTCATTTGTTGTGTTTATGAATTACCCCATGGTTTTTCCAGTTATTTCATCTGGTTTGTTGGCTTGCGTTTTCTCTGCTATAATCCATGTTTTATTCAGATAATAAATGGGGTTACTTTCAGCTGTTGGCCTTTTATGTTTCCTCAAATGTCATCAGAATTCTTTTTAGAACCAGCGTTTTTTAGAATATACCATGGGGTTTTCCCTCTAAAAATTGTTTAGTAATAGCAGTAGATGGAGAATAGACCATGTGATTTTTCCTCTAAAAATTGTTTTTTTAGCAGTAGATGATGTACTATAGCTTCTTTTGGCGATACATGCAATGATTTTTTCTAAAAAAACCATGTTAGTAAACAGCTTTGGTTTGTGGACAGGTTAATGTCATATCCTTGGTGGGTGCCGATGTGGTTGGCGACGATGACAATGGCGATGATGGGACGGGAATTACTACAGCTCATTGATGAAAAAAATTCAAATTTAAAACTTCAATGTTTGGTGTTGGTCTTTTCCCAGAGCAAGTTGTGGATGACAGCGATGCTGGAGCTAATCCCCGAGGGAATGTTGCTAAAAAACATGTTGCATCTATTTCTTCAACTGGCAAGAGTAAAGGCAAAACGGTTTTGCCTTTGAATGTTTCACAATTTGTTGAGCTTAAGATTAAGCGTTCTGAAAAACGGTTTTTGAAAGCTATAGTTGAATCCGAAGCGAGGCTAACAGAGTTGATCAACAGAAATTTTGTGAAACGGGCAGATGTTGGGGGGCCTGAAACTGGTTCTCTCCCTGCACAACAACCTGAAGCACCTGTCAGACCATAAGAGCATATAATCCCGGATTCTCAAGCATTTAACCAGAGATCAGTACCTAGCTCATCCTGCTATGACAAACCCTGTTTCCCATGTATTCACTGGTTCTAAACATGGCACCTGCCCATCAAGTACCAGTCCTAGACAGTCTCCTCTCGCATCGTATCATCAACTATTTGACCAGAGCTCACCTTACCATCATTCCATGTCAGACCCGGGTTCCCCTGTCTATAATGGAGGTTCAGATGTAGCGGACAAAGAGGAGTTTGTGGCCGAGACAGTTTGTTGTTCAGATGTGGGACCCAAAAAAGACTTTGGGGACGAGGCAGTTTGTTGTTCCAGTATAATTGCTGCTGTTTTGTCCTTCATGAACGTAGACACCCAGCCTTTAGGTGTTAATTCCTTTTCTGAGGATATTACGTGGCATAGCTCGTTGGTTAGTATCTTTTGTGTCTTTCCTTCTAACTTAGTGTGGCTTTATACTCTGCTAATTCATGATTGCCATATGTGTAGAAGAAAAGAAAACATAGCCATGTTAGTACCGGAGATGCGAATTTTGTGCCGGCCCAAAGTGATGAAAATCTCAACTCCGCCAAGGTTTGTTGAGTTTTAAATATATTTTATATAGATTTGTAAGCCGAGCATCTTCATGTTAACACGTTATTCCTTTACAATGTATGTGACGTCAATAACACCTTCTCTCTGGTCCCTTATGCACCAATTAGATATGTTCCTTCCACTAGCGACCAATCTTACCTTGGCCTTTCTTCACAGATGGGGTCAATATGTTCTGAAAAAGATACTGCCCAACATCAGCAGCAGGTTTGCGTGCATGGTTTTCCTTTAATTTATGCATCGTGGCAAACTTCATAACATGCTTTCAAAATAGAACATGTGCTATAACAGTATAGTTGCTGCGGTTTGTAGTGACCTTGTGTGATTTATATTATCTTCCTTTCTCTTTTAGGGGCTTGGTTTGAGTTCAGGCCAACCTGCTGTGATCGTCCCGACAAACATTACTGGTTATGATCTACTTCAAGTTGAGAAGATTGTACGTATCACATCAATGCATAAGTAAGGGTTTCCAAAACTTATATTGTTTCTGGGATGTATTAACCTCTCCATGATACTAGGTTTGTAAAAGTAATTTCTTTATATAGGGATGTCGACTTTGGATGTGGTAGGATGTTGTCTTCTACAGAACTTCTCGACATTGTTCACCTTAGGACTGAACTCCCACACTGGTATGCTTTTGATTTTTTATTACTAACCAAATGCTCTAATAATTCATCCTTTACTTTCAATTGTTAACACAGGCCATGGATATCTTCATAAACAGTATTCGGCATTTCCGGGAAGCTGCGGTAGATGCTGAAAATCTCAACAAAGTTGCCTTCTTTGACACTGTTTTTGTATCTTCTCTTCTTAAGCACTACCCAAAGTTCAACAAGGTCTCGGAGAAAGGCATGTATTGTTTTGATGATGAGCTGCTCAGTTTATGTCCATCCGGTGTTCAGCGGCTTTATCTTCCTCTCTCGTTTGACAAACAGCAATGGGTTGGGTTATGTGTTAATTTGGCTGAATGGCACATCTACGTCATTAAATATTTTTTCATCGTTTTGGCGTGAATCCAAGTTTAAGACGTGTCTCCAACCTCTAGCTGAGATGATCCGCTACCTCCTCTGGTTTGCGTCAAGCCAATCCGGGAAGAAGAAAGTTAGCTTTGCTCCATTGGGAATACAAAGGTATAAGGATATACCACATACTTGTTTGCGAAAACATTTGGGTGTCATGACTGCTCTTCTTATGGAGACCCATGCTGTTGAAGGCAATGATACTTGTTCTTTTGTAAAGGTGACTGATGTTTTTTCGTCTACAAAGAAGTTCATTGTTTACGCGTACGAATGTAACCACAGCCCCATATAATGGCGTGATAAGAACTCCCATTTGGCAATTAGATTTTACCTTCGTTTATCCTGCTCTGTAACCTAGACATTTATTTGAGTGTATCTTTAAGAGTTTGTATCTTGTTATTCTTGTATGGTATTGTTTTTACAATGCGACTTGTATCAGCGTTTATATAGTTCGCATCTGGAACTGCATGTAGGATGCTCTAAAAACTCTTTCATCACTCCGTCCCACATTTTTTTAGCTCTTATGGTTTCATCCCCTTCGATGCTATATTTATATATATTTAGTCTTGCTTTGTTAGTGGTAGTTGACATTTACTAGTTACTTTGTGTGCTAGGTAACACTGCTGTTAATGTTGCAATCTCGGTGTACCACTAAACCAAATTCATTTAAAACTCACTGAGTATTTGCTATCTGTTCCGATCGCATGGTATTTAAACTAATTACATGGAGTTTTACCAAGTTGAGATTCATTACCATGTAGAACCAAGGGAAAGCCCACTGTAATCTGTTTAAAAAGCAAAATACTTGGTTTGAACCCATGCTGGTTTAGGGATTTTACTCGTAATAAATGATTAGTGAAACATAGATAATTGCATTGTGTTATGGATTTCGGTTGCTTCATTAGATATTGGTATAAAACAAAATATTATTCACTAAACAATTTTATAAATTGTTGGGTTGCTTAATGTGGTTTGT